GCCACCACGCCCAGTCCTAAACTATATTTTTAATCTGTGAAAAAGACAACTTACATAGTTTTAAAAATAGGAAAAAGAAGTTTTCAGGAGAAATGTGTGTTTCTGTGTGTTGGAAGGAGGGTATATAGTGACTGCATTCATCCAGAATTGCTATAGTCAGCATTTCCAAAGCTGTATTTCATCAGGGTTTATAGCGGCACTCGAAGCCACTATTAGTAAGTTAAGCAACCTATCAATCACCCCTGCACCCCAAGTCACATCAAAGAAAAAAGCAAAATCCTCCACATTTTGTTGTTTAGGTCTACTTTGAAACTTTCTGAGTTAGAGTCAAATAATGCCATGACTATTAATATAAAGAGGTGATATATTAATAATCTCTTTTATTTTCAAGGTAAAAGGACTAGTAGTAAGTTCATAGTAACTGTGGGCTTAGGAAAAAATGAATAGTTATGTCCAGATTATTACCAGTCATTATCTATGTATAATGCCTTTAGTCTACTAGGCTTCACCAAGTATGATTTTTTCCCCTTGATATTCAAAAATGTATCATGTGACTTAACAACCTCTCGAAATTTTGTTCACCTTAGTTTGAAACATACTGCATTGTTCTAGTCATTAATATCTGTTTTATAGTTGCAGTCATTCTCCTATGATGCATGTCAATGGCATCAGTGCAGTCTGCCAGTATATAAATCCTACCCATCTCTGTACCATGTGGAGGTTTAAACATTTCATGACATGATACATTGCCAAGCATCTCACTTATCTTCTCATATTTATGCTGTCAAAGTCCCTAAATAATATGTTTTATTCTACTTCACAGATATAAATCTTCAAGAATATGTATTTTTAATGGTGTTCTTCTTTAGAAGTATTTTAGATATACAAAATGGTTTCACTGAACTTATGGAGTAAGAGCCCAATAGATTGTTGGTTATGTAGAATTTATGAATGCTCTGTTGAACTTTAATTTGAATGAAGCCAGCTACACAAGTCACATCAATTTTCGAAGTCTCATTACTGGCATTCTAATGAACAGGTATTAACAACTTGTTTGTTGTTGTTTGTTGCTTTTGTTGTGCTTGCTAATGAGTTTTTTACCAGAGAGGTACCACATGAATCATTTCTTCAACAGCCTATTTTGTTACACACTATGGGCTGAACAATGAAGATAAAGCAACAAACAAGACAAAGTTCCTGCAACTGTAGAACTTTCATATTTGTGAAGAAATAGGCACTTGACAAATAATGACATTTATGTTCCCTTATCTCCCTTCTATGGAGCATTGAGCCCATTGCTTTCCAAACAGCTGGAGTTGTACCACATACAGATCAGGATTTCTTCGCTACGTATAAAGAGAAATGGAGTCTTTTCAGTATGCCCAAAAGGAGGTGATAAGGAACTTAACCATATATTTTCATATCTAGTTTGTAGCATGTTGAAATCCTAATTGACAAGGGCTGAGAGGCGGAGCAAACTGGCCAAATAGAAAGCTCTACCAATTGTTTTCCTGAGCAAGAACACCAAGTTAACAGCCTTCTTTAAGAAAAAAAACATTTTCCTAAGAAATAAAAAATAGGTGAGCCCTCATAGTATCTAGTCTTAACTTCACATTGCTTTAGGAGGCACTGAAGAGGTAGAAAAAACAGTCCTGGCTGGGCGCAATGGCTCACACCTGTAATCCCAGCAGTTTGGGAGCCCGAGGTGAGCAGATCATCTGAGGTCGGGAGTTCAAGGCCTGGCCAGCAAGGTGAAACCCCAACTCTACTAAAAATGCAAAAATTAGCCAGGATGCAAAAATAGCCACATGCCTATAATCCCAGCTACTCAGGAAGCTGAGATAGGAGAATCACTTGAACCCAGGAGACGGGAATTGTGGTGAGCCGATATTGCACTACTGCACTCCAGCCTGGGAGACAGAGCAAGACTCTGTCTCAAAAAAAAAAAAAAAAAAAAAAAAAAGAAAAGAAAAGAAAGAAAAGAAATGAAGAAAACACAGTCCTGTATTGCAGATGCCACCTCTCCTCCACTCTGGGAGCAGCTGTGTGCTGTGGAGAGTATCTCTGGGTGCTGGGAGAGGGAGAATGCAGTCATTGTCAGGAATCTAACTCAGTTCTGCCCTGTTAAAGCAGAAAGGAAAACCCAACCAAACTCAGCTGACACCTGTCCACAGAGGGAGCATTTAAACCAGCCCTAGCCAAAGGGGAATCTCCCATCCCAACAGTCTCCACTTGAATGCGTGCAAACCTCAGCACCGAGAGCTGCAGCCACTCTATGTCTCCAAGTAAACTTGAAAGGCAATCTCAGCCATAAAAGGTGCAACTTGTAGGCAAGTCCTAGGGCTGAACTAGAACCAGAGACAGTAGATTCGTGGGCACACAACCTACTGAAACATCAGCTGTGGCAGCCAAGGGAGTGCTGGCATCACCATTCCCCTAACCCCAAGATGCATAGCTTGTGGCTCCAAAAGAGACTCTTTCTTCCACTTGAGGAAAAGAGAGGGAAGAGTGGGAAGGACTTTGTCTTGCGCCTTAAATACCAGCCGAGCCACAGCAGGATAGTGCACTGGTCAGAGCCTTAAGGACCCATTCCAGGCCCTAGCTCCAAGATGACATTTCTAGACATACCCTGGGCCAGAAGAGAACTGGCTGCCTTGAAGGAAAGGACCCAGTCCTGGCAGCCTTTATCACCTGCCAACTGAAGAGTCCGTGGGCCCTGAATAACCAGCAGTGATGCCTGGGTACCACATCCAGGGCCTTGATGAGCCCCTGAGACTTTTTGGCTTCAGGGGAGAGTCAGCACATTACCAGCTGTGGTGGCTGTAGGGCAAAACTCCTTGTGGTTGAGAAAAGCAGAGGGAAAAGTAAAGGCGACTTTGTCTTGCACCTTAAGTAGCAAAGCAACCAGTGGGGTAGAGCACCAAGAGGGCTCCTGATGGACTCTTGGATGACATTTCTGGACCTGACCTGGGCTAGAGGGGAGTCCATTGCTCTGAAGAGTTAGTCCCAGGCCACGTAACACTTACCACAAGCTAACATAAGAGTCTGAGGGCCTAAGGGAGCATTTGTGGAAGCCTGGAAGTACTCCTCATTGCCAGGGGTGCTGGTGGCTATGGGCGATGTTCTTCTGCCTTTTCAATGGGAAGGAAAGAGTGGGAAAGACTGTGGCTTGTGACTTGAATGCCAAATCATCCCCAATATAATAGAACACCAGGTAGACTTCTAAGGTCTAGAAGACTACCTGGTGTAGATTTCTAAGGAGTCAAAACTTACCTGACTCCTTACCCTGACTCCCGGACCACACTACTAAACCCACCTGGAGCCTAAGAGATCTCGGTGCCCTGAAGGGAAGGACACAGGCCTGGCTGGCTTTGCCACCTGCTGATTATGGAGCCCTAGACCTTGAGTAAACATAGTCAGTAGCCAGGGAGTGGTTATAGCAGGCTTTGTGTGGCACCCAGCACTGTGCTGCTTCAAGTCTGATTCAGCACAATCATAGTGGCAGTGGCCACAGGGTGCTTGTGTCACTGCCCTCCAAGCTTCAGGTGACTCAGAACAGAGAGAGAGATTCTGTAAGTTTGGAAGAGAGTTAGAGAAGAGAGCAAGAGTCTCTTCCTGGTAATCCAGAGAATTCTCTTGGATCTTGTCTAAGACCATCAAGGTAGTACTTCTGAGAGTCTGCAAGAACCACAGTGTTACTAGGTCTGGGGTGTCCCTAAAGAAAACACAGCTTGGATCACAACACCCAAGTTCTGTCAAATAGTTGAAAAGCCTTTTCAAGAAGGGTGACTACAAATAAGCCCATCCAGTGAAGACCTGCAATAAATACCTAACTCTTCAATGCCCAGACACTGAAGGACAGCTTCAACACCATCCATGGAAACATGACCTCACCAAATGAAATGAATAAGGCACCAGGGATCAATCCTGGAGAAACAGAGAATGGGACCTTTCAGACATAATCCAAAATATTAGATTGAAGAAAATAGAAAGTAATTCAAGATAACACAGAGAAGGAATTTCAAATTCTATCAGATAAATCTAACAGAGATTGAAATAATTTAAAAGAATCAAGCAGAAATTCTGGAGCTGAAAATGCAATTGGCATCCTGAAGAATGCATCAGTCTTTTAATAGCAGAATGGATCAAGCAGAAAAAAGAAATAGTGGGCTTGAAAACAGACTGTTTGAAAATATACAGTCAGAGGAGACAAAAGTAAAAAGTAATTTACTGTACAAAAGTAAAGAGAATAAAAAAAAATAAAGCATGACTACAGTATCTAGAAAGCACCTTCAAAGGGTTTTCTAAGATATACTGATTGGCCTTAAAGAGGACACAGAGAAAGAGATAGAGGGAGGAAATTTATTCAAAGAGATAACAGAGAACTTCTCAAACCTAAAGAAAGATATTAATATCCAAGTACAAGAACAAGAAGGTTATTGAATGCTAAGTGTATTTAACCCCTGAAAAGACAACCTCAAGGCATTTAATAATCAAATTCCCAAAAGTCAAGGATAAAGAAAGGATCCTAAAAGCAGCAAGAGAAAAGAAACAAATAGCCTAAAATGGAGCTCAAATACATCTGGCATTTCACTGACTTTTCAGTGAAAATTTTACAGACCAGGAGAGATTGGCACGACATATTTAAAGTGCTGAAGGAAAATAATTTTTATCCTAGAATAGTATACTTGGAAAACATATCCTTCAAAGATAAAGAAGAAATAAAGACTTTGCCAGGCAAAAGCTAAGGGATTTTATCAGTACCAGACCCATCCTACAAGAAATGCTAATGCAAGTACTTCAATCAGAAAGAAAAGAACATTAATGAGCAATAAATAATCATCTGAAGGTACAAAACTTACTGGTTATAGTAAGTACACAGAAAAACACAGAATATAATAATACTTAATTGTGGTGTGTAAACTATTCTTATTGTAAGTAGAAAGACTAAATGATGAGCCAATGAAAAATAATAACTACAATGATTTTTCAAGACATAGAAGAATAAAAACTTAAAAAGTAGGAGGGCCAAAGTTAAGGCATATAATTTTGATTAGTTTTCTTGTTGCTTGTTTATGAAAACAGTGTTAAATTGTTATCAGGTTAAAATAATAGGTTGTAAGATAGATTTTGCAATCCTCATGGTAACCTCAAACCAATGGATACACACACACACAAAAATAAAAAGCAAGAAACAAAATCCTATCACTGGAGAAAACATCTTCATTAGAGAAAAACATGACTGGAAGAAGGAAGAGAAGGTCACAAAATAATCAGAAAACAAATAACAAAATGGAGTAAGTTCTTGCTTATCAATAATATTGAGTATAAATAGACTAAACTCTCCAATCAAAAGACATAACTGCCTGAATGGATTAAAAAAAGGACTCCTTGATCTGTTTCCTACACAAAACACATTTCATCTATAAAAACACACATAGACTGTAAATAAAGGGATGGAATATCTATGTGTGTCTTTATAGGTGAAAAATAAAGACATCCCATGCCAATGGAAGGCAAAAAAGAATAGGAGTTACTATACCTATTATATCAGAAAAAGTAGATTTCAAGGAAAAAACCTATAAGAACAGACAAAATAGTCACTATATAATAATAAAAGGGTCAATTCATCAAATAGATATAACAATTCTATATGTGCCTAACATGGGAGCACCCAGATATATAGAAAAAATATTATTAGAGCTAAAGAGACAGATAGGCCCCAGTACAATAATAGCTGGAGACTTCCACACCTTGTTTTTGTCACTGAACAGATCTTCTAGACAGAAAATAAACAAAGAAACATCAGAGCTAATCTGCACTATAGACCAAAGGGATCTAATAGATACTTACAGAACACTTCATTTAAGAGGGACGGCATGCACATTCTTTTCCTCAGCACATGGATCATTCTCAAGGCAAATCAAATCTACAATGAGATATCATCACCCCAGTTAAAATGGCTTTTATCCAAAGACAGGCAATAACAAATGCTGGCAAGGATGTGGAGGAATGAGAACTGTTGCACACTGTTAGTGGAAATGTAAAATTCGTACAGCTAACTTTTCTCTATGGAGAAAAGTTTGGAGGTTCCTCAAAATACTAAAAATAGAGCTACCTTATGATGCAGCCATTCCTCTGTTAGGTATATACCCCAAAGTAAGGAAATAAGTATATTGAAGGGATATTTGCACTCCTTTGTTTGTTGCAGACCTGTTTACAATAGCTGAGATTTGAAGGCAACCTAAGTGTCCGTTAACAAATGAATGGAGAATGAAAATGCGGTACAAATACACAATGGAGTACTATTCAGGCATAAAAAAGAATGAGAGTTAGTTATTTCAACAACAATGATGCAACTGGAGCTCATTATGTTAAGTGAAATAAGCCAGGCACAGCAAGACAAACTTCATGTTCTCATTATTTGTGAGATCTAAAAATCAAAACAATTGAACTCGTGGACATAGAGAGTAGAAGGATGGTCCTAAGGAGGACACTATGGGGCTGGGGGAAGGTGAGGATGCCTAACGGGTACCAAAAAAATCGTTAAAAAATGAATAAGAGCTACTATTTGATAGCACAACAGGGTGACTATATTCAGTAGTGGATTGTTACTGAAAGGAGAAAGGCTTGAGAGGTTGGATACCCAATTCCTCATTATGTGTTTATTTGACATGGCATGCCTGTATCAAACATCTCATTTACCTCATAAATATATACCCTGCTATGTACTCCCAAAATCAGAAAAAGTATAAAACAAAGCAAAGTGCTGTCCATGGTGCTGAATGTATACTATAGCTGCAGAATAGATGGAAATGTTGTTTACTTGACTGCTGAACTAAATTTAATAGAACTCTCTGAGCAATTAACTGGATGCTAAAAATGCAAAAGTGAACATGGCACAGTCATGGTTTTCAAAAAGTTTACAGCCATGGTGAAAAAACTGGCCTTAAATGTTAATGTTAATACCTTTTAGGGTCAATTAATTCTGAACTCAGTATATTCTACTTGACCTAAGTATATGGTACTCAAAGAACTTAAGTAATAAAATAAAACTTTGTGTGTTATGAGCAAAGACAATACTGATTAATTTTCTTTATCAACTTTTTTTATGCTACAAGTGATGATGGGCCAGGAAATGTTTTAATGTTTTAATCTACTTCCTAAACTGATCAAATGCAATGTTATTCGATACCTGTGCCACTTAAGTACTTTATGGGGCAGGTAAGCTTTAACTTCACAATGATGTAAACTTTGCTTATTGCCTTGAAATAAAGTACTAAACATATTAGGAATCTGAACTCTAATGTGATTCAAAAGTGACATTTTATAAATATAACTTTTAAATTGCCATTTTAATGCAGTCATCATTTATATGACACATCACAAGGATTATTAATAGAGCCAAAACTTGACTAATGAAAATATAAAATTATATAAGACAGGTAATAATGTAGAAATAATGAACACATCTGCAAGTCTAGAATAAAATTTTCACATTAGAGAAGAGTTGCCAAAGTCCGTGAGTCAATAAACCTTGGTCTTAGCATTAGAATATTAGTAGAGGCAATTATAAAATGTATTTAAAAGGAGGCATGTTACATGGCTACATTAGAGGTTAATTCCTTGAATCTTTACAAATGTATTATAGAAGAGGAACAACCGTAAAGTAAATATTGATGAAAGAGAAAATTAAACATGTTCCCTAGCAAAAAAATAATAATACCATTTATTGCAATACTCTCACATTGGAAACATCAGGACCATAATTCCAAAACCCAATGATTGTGGCCCTTATAATTGCTCATCTAAATGAAGAGAATGAATTTGAGTGTCTGCACTAGGAAACATATTGATTCTACATTTCTATTTATTTATGGGAAAGAAAGAAAACTAAACAGCATATTTCCCATCTGTTCTGCCTTCTTTTTCAGGGGAGATAAAATTATTTCCCCTTTCCATTAATTCTTCAAGTAGGACTTCTTCATAATCATTGATTGAAAAAAGGAAGAATTTGAACCAATAGCGTTTTCTTTGAGCAATGAAAACCATTAGCAACTGTGCTTATAAAATCACTTACCAGAGCTACCAATATATGTTTATTATGTAGATCAGAAATCATTAAAGTGCTCAATGTTACTTTTCAACTATCTAGAGAATACATTTTAAAACATACAGCATCATAAATGTGAAAAATGTAACTATCTTAATTTGCTTTTCTACTTTTTATATGGTAATGTTTGTTAATTTTAAGCATATGTATATATCATAATTTCAACTAATATCCTATGAATAGGCATTTAGATTGTTTCCAAGATTTTGTTACTATAAATTATCCGATAGTGAAAGAAGGTACAGAGTAAGTATACATTTTCATTTCTTCTCTCCTCTGACATAATAGAAATCTCAGACACAACATTCTGGCAGAATAAGATGTCCAGGACTTATATGTGACAGAATTAAAATTTGGATGACTTTCCATGTTTAACTACATTTATCCTTATAAACAGGAGAAATATCCATCCATTCATTCATTGAAAAAATATCCAATGCTTGTTATGTTACAGCCACTCTTGTAGGCACTTAGATAAAACCTCAAAGAAAAACAGACAAAAATTCTTATAGTTATGGAGGTCTTTTCTTTTTGAAGACTCTTGCCTCATATAGTTTTCTGATTGTTAAATCATGTCATGTATTTGTGTCAGGAGATTTTATGATACCATTGCATTATGTTGGCATGGGAAGCAGGCATTGAGGAGATATTTTAGTGGCAGATCACCAGAAACTTGGGAAATGAAAACTTTGCATAATCCACATTTTAAAAGTGCTCTTTATCCAAAATTGTAAGTAAACATAGTCCCCATATTCTATTTGCATGATGTCAGTGGGAATGTGCCTCACAAAGTAAGAATTTGGGCTTTCCCACTTTACACTCAGTCTGATGTTTACATAAATGGATTTTGCCCTGAAATGGCCATATGATATCAACTTAGATTGTATATCTGAAGTTAAAAAAATCAGCTTATAAAAGTGAATCCTAATTTAAGTACTAGATCCTAAATATAAAATCAGTATTGTTGTATTTGGTATTCACATTTTCAAAATTTTAAACATGAGTGTAATTTTAATGACTGCATAACGTTTTGCAAATATTTTCTCTGACTTTGATTAGATTCCATTTTAAATCTTGGCTAACATAACACTTATGTTATAGGGGCAACATAAACAAAAATCAGAAGTTTATTGTTTCCAGAATGGCAATGTATTATAATAATTATATTAAAGAATAAATAAAATTGTTAGGAGTTTGACACCTAATTACTAGATGGCTGGGAAGGCACCAAAATATGTGCCTGACCTAAAAAGTTCACAGATGAATTGGCAAGATATAATATGATATAAGAATTAATAAAAACATAAAGAATAATAATAGTTCTAGAAAAGAAATATATGTCATGGGGAAGTACACTATTATTATAATAAGTTGTTTACATGGAATACTCACCACTACTTTTTTCAGCTGCTGAGAGATAAATCATATTCAAATCATGTCACAGGTCAAGGAAGTCCAGAGATGCATCTACCTTCAAGTGTGGATGGATCTAGCAGCTCAATCAATGCCTTCAAAAAGACGAGTCTCTCCATATTTTGGCTATACTTTTCTCCACTTTGTGTCTGTCATCAGGAAGGCTCTTTCTGCAAAGAGGCAGATGTCGACTAGCTGCTTATTATTTACCACATTATTATTTGCCACGTTTTGGCTAACAATTAGCAATTCTAGGATAAAGATAACTCCAGTTTTCTTAAATAGTTCTAACAAAAGTCCTGGGATTTCATTTACTGATGCATGTTTGGTGATATATTTAATTTCTGACAAATCAATATTACTCTGATTTTGCAGATGTGCCTCGAAGGTCAGACTTTATAGTTAAAGAATTAATAAACTTCCTATCAACTACAATGAGACGATAAAGGAAACGGTGATTCCCTGTGGAGCAACTTGCTGCTAACCCAAGGAAAAGGGAATGGATATTGAGCAGGAAAATACGAAAGTCTACTACCTCATATTTTTTTCATTTGATCCTTGCAGCCACCCTCTGAGTTAGAAATTATTTTCTCCATGTAAGGATAAAGAGACTGAAGGTCAAAAACTGCAAATAACTTTCACAAAAGCGTAACAACAAAAGGTAGTAAGTATGAGATTCAAATTTTGTCTGACTTCATAACTCATGCCTTAAATGCTATATTACAGTGCTCTCATTAAACTTTTTACATCAATAACTGGTGAACAGAGGTGCAAACAAATGTTCCAAATCTCCTATTCAGCCTTGACTTTTCTGCAAAGTTTCATGTCAGAACACCTTTCTCTCTTGTTCTTGTTTCTGCTCATTTTATCCTGCTTTAGAGATTTACAGATTCTATTTAGAAGTTTCGTGTCCTACAATAAAATCCAAGGCGATAACATTGTGGTATCAAGCAGCTTAACTTCTTGGTTTTGTTCTCAAAGAGAGTTATTGACTATGACTATCCTGAGCACCGAGATCTTACTTTGCTTGACTCTGAATCCGTAATTTCTCATACAGTGCCTGGCATTCATCAATAGGACAATCATTTATCAATGTACTTGAGAAAAATAAAACGAAAATATTTCTGATCCCATGAAAGTAAACGTGGTTATGTGCTTCAGCCTGTACACACGACACTGATAGACTTAGTGGAAGTCTCAGATTTGCCTTCTGTTTCAATGTGTCCTTCACCAAGTAGCTAAAACTCTTTTGGGCTTCAATTCAATTCTCTTGTATGTAAAATAAAAATAATACTACCTACCTTTGAGGGTCATAATGAAGAATTTGAGATGTGTGCAGATTAATACAGGGTTTCCTGCACATAGGAAGAATTCAATAAATTATGACTGTTACTCGCACAAGTTATTTCATCAGTTATGGACAGGCAATAGAGTTTGAAAAAAATATTTAGATATATTTAATACAAAACTTTAGTAGAATTGATTATTTACACTTCAGGCACACAGCATATACCCAAGCAAGACGCAACGATTTGTGTGTCCTAACACTGTGGTCAGCCAAATTTCCTTACGATTTATTCACTCTATATTCATAACACAAAGTGATCTCGTAAGGGTAAAATGCTGAATCTATCTGGGAATATGTCCAGTTTTCCATTTCTCTCACCCCCAGAAAACTATTTGACTACAAACCTTTGTATTTTAAAATTCTTTACTTTTTATAGGTTACTTGTGCAATTCCCACTATCACTTTAAGAAAGGCGGTTTTTGGCTCACAAATCAGCTGTTATCATTATCCCAACTTATTTCTTCTCAAAAACATTTGCCATAATATCTTAATATAAAAGTGCTTTAAAAGTTGATGAGTTACTACGGTAAATAATTTATCAAAATTTTATTTAGCTATTATGTTGGTTTAAATATTTTCAATCTCAAGTGACAGAAACCTAATTGAAAACCGAGTTTCTCTCTCTTGGGTAAGAGAGAGAGAAGGAAGTAGGGAGAGAGAAGGAGAAAAGTAGAAAATTGTTGGCTTATGTAATTGAACATTTCAAGGGCAGGTGGTTTGAGCAAGGCTAGATGAAGACAAATAATCAATGTGTCTCTCAATCTCAGTTTTATTTTGTTTCTTATTGGCTCACTCTCAGGTAAGTTTTCACTTTGAGAATGTAAAATAAATAGCATCATAGGTTTGCATTTACCAATTCAGTAACCCCAGTGGAAAACGATCTTCACTTAATTTCTGTGAGAAGTATTAGGGTTGAATGCCACTCTTCTGCTTTGATGACAGCCTTCTGATGACCCAGAACTAGTCATAGGGAATAGGCTAAATACTTTGATAGGCCACATCTAGATAATTTCCCTCTTCTGGGAATATAAGATAGTGTCAAGCCCAGCTGAAACACAGGGGCACAGAGGCAAGAAGTGGTGGCCCCAAAAATTATCATGGGGTTCTATTAGCTTAAGAAAACCAAATGGATGTTAGATTGGCAAAAATATGAGATGACTGTTTTACACATTCTTAAATTTTTCCCCAAAATTTATATTTAAAAAGTTAAAATTTTATTTTGATACAATAATGTCAAGAAGATTAGAAATCATTATAATTCCTGGTATACAGATGCTCCTCAACTTATGATAAAGTTGTGTCTTGATAAAACCATGGTAGTATGTTGAAAAGATCATAAGTTGAAATGTGCTTAATACATCTAACCTAGCAACCATCATAGCTTAACCTACTTTAAACATGCTCAGTACACTTACATAAGCCTGTGTTGAGAAAAAATCATCTAACAGAAGCCTATTTTATAATAAGGTATTGAATATCTCATGTAATTTATTAAATACTGTATATTATGTCATAATTGAACAGTTTTCCACCATAGTAAAGTCAAAAAGTCCTAAGTCAAACTATCGTTAAGTCAGGAACTATGTGTAATCCAAAACCATATGTTTATATTACCCTTATTGCTTGTCAACATTATAAAAATGTGTGTGTGTGTCTGCATATGTATATACCTACTTGTTTTTCCTTTACCCTAAAACCAAGAAAGGAGTCTAAAACAAGAATCATATCCTCATAATTTAAATTTAAATACATTGTAAAGTAATTTGAAGGGAAAAATTCAATCACATCTCTATAACATGGCAAAAGCACTAAGATAATAAATGCATAGCAATTTACAGATAATTGATGATCATTTCTTTTGAAAAGAATCAGTTTGGCACCATTTTTCCCTGAGATTTATATGACCTTTTCCAACAGTAAGGTTGATCAAACTCTCAGAAAACCACGTTGTCCTACAACAGAAGACAAGAGGTCACAAGGCAAAGACATTAAAACAGATTTATTTAATGTGTAACATGGAGGAGATTACAAATGGCAGATAGGTTTTTATATCCTGTTCACCTGAATAATAGACTCCATGATAGATTTTCTTCCTTTTCACTGAGAGGCAAGAGACTTTGAAGCTATTGTCAGACCACAGACTACCTGGGAAGCTCAAGCCTTGGTCCAAAACTCTGCTGTACAGCATGAACCCACTAGCAGTGGGGGTGACTTGTTATCATAGAACACAGATATTAATACATAATAGATAAAGTTAGATCATGACTACTCACAGAGCAGGAGTTCAACTGATTTAACCATGCAGAAGAGAAATGTATTTTTAGTTTCAGAGCCAATTCATATATTTCTCAACAACTGCTGTGTGTGAAAAAATGTCTGGGGATGAATGTGGCTTATAATACAGAGGACAGCATGAATAATCTAACTGTCCAAGATTAGACAAAAAAGAATGAAACTGTCATGACAGAGGACATGTAAGGAAAATAACAATATTTTTATGATGGAGAAGTGGAAAGCTTTCTCCCTTTCTCTAAATCCTTGGCCCAAACTAATACGTAAACCTTTTATAAAATTAAATTGTAAGCAAGAAATCCATATGCTATAGTCACTGTCATTAGGCTATCACCATAATAGTCTCTTGAAAAGATTGAAAAAAATAAGTTATGCAATTATGCAATTTTCTAAAATTATTAATCCAGCAGAAAATAAGCTATTGTTCTAATAAAATATAACATGATCCTTGCATCTGGATCAGATAAAAGAACAAGGGCTCTGAATGAAGGTATTACTGGACTTACAGCCAGAAGAAGCAGATTTTAATCTAAGGGACTGGGCTTCTTGATAGCTAAGTAAATTGGGGCATGCTACCTGGTTTTCTCAATATGAGTTCCCTTCTCTAGTACAAGTGATAATTTCAATGTACCTACTGCAAGGGAGCATTGTGAAAAATAAATGAGGCAATAGAATCATAGAATGTCATTTTTACAGGGAATTGTCTTAATATTCGGTCCATATTCAGTGAATGAAGGTTGGCAAGCATCAGCTTACTTGTAAGACTATCTTCTTATAGGCCTTCTAAGATAGGAGAGATCCCAAATGACTTACAATATTTAATGGGTCCACTAAATTCCTGGAAAAACTGCTTGATCATGGAGGAAGTGAATCATCTCAAATATCTGAAGGAAAGTAAGTAATAAAGAGATAAGCCAAGTAAAGAGGAAAATAATACCAAAACTTTTTACTATGAGAAGCAAAAGACACCAATTTTGATAATCAAGGAAGATATTTGTACCGTATAACACCAAATAGATATTTGAAACATGCTTCTAAATGAGTTTTTAAAAATTTTCTTTCAAATGTTTAGAGTCTTAGAGAAAAATATTTCTATTTAATGTTTCTAAGTGAAAACAGTTCAACCATTGTGGAAGACAGTGTGGCTATTCCTTAAGGATCTAGAAACAGAAATACCATCTGACTCAGCAGATGGGTATACATTACTGGCTGTATACCCAAAAAATTATAAATCATTCCATCTTAAAGGCACATACACATGTATGTTTATTCTAGCACTGTTTGCAATAGCAAAGACTTGGAACCAACCCAAATGCTCATCAATGATAGAATGAATAAAGAAAGTGTGGCAAATATACACCATGAAATACTATGCAGCCATAAAAAGGATGAATTCATGTCCTTTGCAGGGGCATGGTTGAAGCTGAAAACCATCATTCTCAGCAAAGTAACACAAGAACAGAAAACCAAACACCACATGTTCTTACTCATAAATGGGTGTTGAACAATGAGACCACATGGACACAGGGAGGGAAACATCACACACTGGTGCCTGTCGGGGGGTTGGGGAGCTAGAGGAGGGATAGCAGGGAGTGGGGGTATTGGGGAAAGATAACATTAGGAGATATACCTAATATAGATGACAGGGGATGGATGCAGCAAACCACCACGGCATGTGTATACCTATGCGACAAACCTGCACATTCTGCACATGTACCCCAGTACTTAAAGTATAATAAAAAAAGAAAACAGGGTAACTCATAGCCATTAAACAATGAGTTTCTTGAAACCTTGAGGAAAATGTCTGGGTATGTGTATATAAACAAACTGTGTTTGCAGTATAGGAAATAATATGCTTAAAAATCCTAAATATTCTAGTTTACAGGCACACAAAGATTATTCAAGACTTTTAAAGTAATAAGTAAGAAAAGCTCAACTCATATTTCTTTATGCAAAGTGGGAATCAGGGAGGGGGTACTCTAATGGACATGATAAGAGAAATCAAGGCAATAGTTATGGCTTTAGGCAATGCAGGGTATGAAGGTTCAAATAATGCCTTCAGTCTCCTCTTTGCTCTATTCTCTGTTTCCCTCAAGATTACCTTATTCTCTAGATCTCTGTTCATGATTGTACAGATTGTATAAGCTGCCCTAAGCTTCTGTTTGGACATGTAATTCCAAGAACTCTCCTCTTCTTGGAGGCTGCATCAATTACTTAAAAAGAAACACTAATTGATCCTTCTTGAAGGATGTACCTTTTTTTTTTTTTTTGGCAAACTGTTCTTTATTGCATGCTCTTATGGCCCGGTCTGTATTAAAGCCCCATCCCTATGTCTGGGAAGTAAGGATTGGGATTTATAGTTTTATAAATAGCATACGGAAGAGAGGAGGTATGGTTCTTAAAAGGTCAATTAAAAATAATAATAGTAAGAGCACTTGATGTCCCCCAGCAGTTTTTAAAAGGAGTTTATAACATATTTTTATAAGCATAAATATTGAGAGAGAAATAACAGCACCTCTTCCCTGATGTTATTGGAAAATTTGCATTTCTTAGTCAGGCTGGCCACCTGTGAGCTGTAATATTCTGGTTGGGATGTCAGAATATGATGGCAGCAGCCCATGAACTGATAAGATGTGAGCTTCTGCTGGGACTTGTAGTGAGTTTGAAGCTGAAACAAATGTGTGGTTTGAAAGTTAAGAAAATCAAACAATTCCTTTGACCCAGAATGGGATTAATGGAGGCAACTAATGTATCCACTCCTTTTTCATTGCATAGCAGAGCTCTGGCCTGCCCTGAATAGCAGGACTTCACACAGCAGGAATGCAGTGTTTACGCCATAATATACAGAGCCATAGTGAGATACCAGCACAGCCTGATGTAGTCTTTTAAAACAGATTTTTTAAAAATAAGCAAACACTTCCAGATCTCATCAACAACACCCTCTTGGAAGAGTCAAATAAAAATAAACACTATGAAACCGTGTCACAATAAGACATATGAATGTCCAACGGGTATATGAAAAAATGTTCAACATTACTAGTCACCCATGAAATGCAAGTTAAAAGCACAATGAGATTCCACCTTATACCAGTTAGAATGACTCATATCAAAAAAACAAAACATAACAAATGTGAAATTGTGGGGAAAAGGGAACCCTGGCATATCTTGTTGGTGGGAATATAAATTAGTATACTCAATATGAGAAACATTATGGAAGCTCCTCAAAAACTTAAAAATAGATCTACCACATGATCCAGCACTCCCACTTCTGGGTCTATAACCAAAGGAGATGAAATCTGTGTTGTTGAAGAAATGTCTGCACTCCCACGCTCACTATTGCATTATTCATAATAACCAAGACATGGAATCAATCTAAGTGTCTATTAACAGATAAGTAAACAAACAAAATGAGTTATACATACACTGTGGAATAAAATGTAGTCTTAAAAATGAAGGAAATCCTGTTTTTTGTGACAAGATGGAGGATCCTGGAGAATATTGTGTTAAATAAGGCAGACACGGAAAGGCAAATACTATATGATCTCACTTATATGTGGATTCCAAAAAATCCAACCCATAGAAGCAGAGAAGAGAATGGTAGATACAAATGGCCGTGGAAAAAGTGGGGAGATGTCTGTCAAAGGATACAAAATTTCAATTAGAGGAATAAATTCAAGAGATGTATTGTAAGACATCATGACTATAGTCAATAAAATTTAGTGGATACTTGAAAATCACTAAAAGTAAATATTGCATGTTCTCACCATGAAATGAAATAAGTATGTGAGATAATGAATATATTAATTAGCTTGATTAAGCCATTCCACAATGTATACATATTTCAAAACTTTATGTTTTATATCATAAATATATATATAATTTGGTTCATCAATTTTAAAAGATTCATTGATATTAAAAAGCCAAAACTGATTCTAGATCTCTTAATCAAAAAGTCAACTTATTAGAAGGATATGGTGCAGCTCACACAAATAAGGGATATCTGAAAAAAAAATTAAAACCAAGTACCCCTAAGATTTCAGGTAGCAAGAAGGAATAAACCATGTGACCAGGAAGCTACTGCTGGGACAAATCATCTCTCACAAATTCTCTGTTCTTGAGTCCCTGTACGCTGAGACACAGAACAGTTGTGTGCTTAAAAGCATCTGCACTCCCATCAGATAGACCTGGATTTTTATTCCACTACCAGCACTTAAATACTGGCTCTTTGGTTTTGGGCTATTCATTTCAATTATAAAGTGGGGATAATAATGACATCCATTTTATTGGGTTGTTATATGAAACATAAAGGCTTATATTAGTGTCAAATCTACAGTACACACTCAAAAGTATTAAGTATTAGTATATGTAAGATTCTAAAGTCCAAGGGGCCAAGCATGGCACCTTGATGAATGAAACCATCAAAACTCTACTGAAGAAGGAGATATAATTTCTTCTAAGATTATTAGAGTACCTTAGCAGAAGAGTGGCTGCTCAAATGGGAAGGCAATGGATGACAAATGTCCCCAAGAGTTGCCAATGCAGGGAATTACAACTCCATTTGGCTTTCTCATGTATTTTTATCAAATGTGGGCTGCATAAGGTCAGCCACAGCCATAAGGTCAGCAATACCCTCTATAAAGTCATGAAACTGGGATTCATAAAGGAGATATTGAAAATTAGGTTGATTTGATGGTAAAAGTAGGTTCATAATGAAAAAAGTTATCCTAGGATTCATATCTACAAAAGATACTGATTTTCACAAATCTGTTATGATAGATGTAAGAAAATCAAATGATGCTTAGATAAAAACATGGGAGAGTTTTTGCTAACTTATGTAAACTCTATTGTATCTATTAAAGACGAGGCTTCATTCTGTGTTAGCCTTTGTTCCCAGTCAATACAAGAAAAGCCAAAAAAGCACTCTGAGCCTCATTTCTTTGTAAACTTTACTTGTTCATTTCTGATGTCTTGAGTTTTTTGACGTTATTGAATGAAAAAAATAAATATACAGTTGATTCTTCAGGGTTTACAAAGTTTGATAAATGCTTATTTAACTTTTTGACATTTGTAATGAAGAAGCATCCTGAAGTCAAGTTTGTATAAAACTTCTCTTGATTTTGCTTACACAAAATCCCAAGGTCCCAGAAGTTGAAATATATTTCTCACCTGACTTTTTTTCTTTTATCAGAGAGCATATTCATTTGCACTTATGGTTTAGGGCCATACTGGACATTTGAGATGCTATTTTGATTTATTTTAGTTTTCATTTCACAATGAAAAGAAAAATGAGTCATTAAGAAGTTGGTTTTGGACAAAATCTCCCATGATACAATGAATTACATGCCTTTCCAAAACAGCCTTGAGAAAGAAAATTTATCAGTTTACACTTCAGTTGTACTACAGTTGGGACAGTATACTTTTTTTTTCTTTTTAAGATGGAGTTTCGCTCGTTACCCAGGCTGGAGTGCAATGGCATGATGTCGGCTCACTGCCACCTCCGCCTCCTGGGTTCAGGCAATTTTCCTGCCTCAGCCTCCTGAGTAGCTGGGATTACAGGCACGTGCCTCCATGCCCAGCTAATGTTTTGTATTTTTAGTAGAGATGGGATTTCACCATGTTGACCAGGATGGTCTCGATCTCTTGACCTCGTGATCCACCAACCTCAGCCTCCCAAAGTGCTGGGATTACAGGCTTGAGCCACCACACCCGGCCGGGGCAGTATACTTTTAAGATATTGTGGAGACATGGATCTTTGAAGATAAGAAGTAAAGAAGTAAGTTGTTCTCATCCTCTTTTCCATTTGATCTAAACCAAGAAAATGTGTTAATAGATATTATGCAATTATCTAAAGGTTTGACATGTATTATGTCATTTAATCACGTAT